CAGCATCGTGTATACGGTTCCGACCAGTTCCTACGGAGCCATCCTTCCTACCCGAGCTGATCCTCTTCCTCTCTCGTCTCGTGTCTTATACATCTGATCTAGATTAATCTCGCCAATGGTCAGCAAAGACACCGAGTCGCTTATGAGGATCTGAGCTACCGGCAACCCGAATCGGCCTGACCCTAACCTGATCAAGGACGCCAAGCACGCGGTTGGTGTCGGAAGGAATTCTTTGCTTCTGAGGGATCAGATAAAAAGCTTCTTCCTGGATTTAAAATGAATTGAGCCAACGATCTGGGATCCTGGTACCGTATCCCGATGGACGGACAGTGGTCTCTCCTTTTATTTTCTCATCCATTCACATCCCTCTCTCTCTCTCTCTCTCTCTCTCTCTCTCTCTCTCTCTCTCTCTCTCTCTCTCTCTCTCTCTGTCTGACTGGACCAGACATCAAGGGTAAGGATACGTACCCTCCTCTCTTCTCCTTTACCCTTCCTTCCTGCTTCTTCTTTATACTACGTCACCATCAATAGCTGGGACCACTCGTTTACCCATGGCTCCCCTTTCTTTCAGACTTTCCAGTCCTTGGATTAATCTCCTGTCCCTTTGTCGACGGTCTTACGTGAAGAAAGTTTGCGTCGCATTGACTGAACTGGACTTGGTCACTCGCTCACTCATTCGCTCGTTCCCTCCTTACTCTTAGCTTCGTTCCATCTTAGTACGACACTCGGTACCAACCGCAACGGCATTCCTGTGCGTCCTTGCTCTTGCTTGCCTCCCCCTCTACCCCCTTTCCATCTCGAAGCTCATAGCCAAGTTTACAATGAACAATTCTGACGGTACGCCATTGTATCTCCGTACGTCATTTTGAGTCTGCGTCCTGCACCCTTTTTACTTACCGACTAAACCGACTGATCTGTCCTGAGCGTGCAGGACACCATTGATAAAATAATGAATCGAAACAAAGAAGATTTGCCATTATTTGATCTACACCATATTCACATTTATGGGAGTCGTTGATGTCCCTAATATTCTTCTTCTCCCAGACTAATGTCTCTCTAAAAATAATCCAACCCTGTATGAGACCACTTCATTTTGTGATTTCAAGGACTCAGGCGTTTCTGACAATTATTTTTGCGTGAATTACGTAAATTCGTGAAAGTCACTCCACGCGTCTGAGAAAAGTCACTTTGTTGCGCGACTACGTGAGCTCTTCCACTTTACCGACACACACGCCTCTTCCACGAACTCTAACTAACTACTATCAAAAGCCAATTAATAGACTCACAGTGGCTCGATTCGTTCGCGCTTTGACGGTGATCACAAGTCGTTGACAAAAAAAAAGAAAGAAAAAAACACCAGACCCAGCATTGTCCTCCGAGCAACGAAGGATGAAGTCTCTCGTTTACTTGTAATTCTGATCGAAGCCGCTGTTAAAGACTCTCCTGTAAATCGAGATAACTTCCCTGAATTACCTAGGGACGAACCTTAATTGGCTGCCGGGTCAGTTAAATGATTCTTGTCACTGTATGCACCATTGCCACGGATCATTACGTATCGTTGTGGTACTGAGCAAACATCAAAGTTTTGGGGAATTGCGCGAGCAGGTGTCAATCTGGTTTACATTTGAAAATGAAATGATACAATAATTTCCAGGCCTTAGCAAGAATATTCGACCAACAGTTTCACGGTTCGCTTAGTAATTTACTTATATACAATATGCTATACATATACGTAACTACCTGTATATAGTTTCAATACGCTACAATTCCCATAGAATTACGTGTATATATATATGCATCTCAGCACGAGACGAGAGGGTGAGCTCATAGCTAGACGGATGTAATATAGAAAGTGCAGGTTTATTGCATACTCGGCCATAAGCAACTCTGTTACGAATGAGAGAGAAAGAGAAATGGTGAGAATGAGTAATAGCTGGGATATAAACGTAACATATATATATGCTGAAGTTAAGTCTGCCTCGGATGGGTATATAAACAGAGCCAAAGAAACGTTACTTCCGGCGGATATGCGTGTAGCCGTTTGAAGGAAAACCATGAGTTTTTCCAGCTTAGCTAATACACAAGCTGATTACATTGCAATTGTTAAGAATATAATTAGCAGGAGCTATGCCGAGGGGGAGTACTTTAAATGGAACAGCATCGCCTGTATACCACGCGTGTAGGACTGTAAGACTGCAAAACCGTATACACCGATAGCTCCTACTCCTCGAGATCGCATATGAATAGAATAGGATAATAAGTAAGAACGGTGGTTGGCTTTCAGGAAGAAAAACAAGAAAATATCACGAGACTCTCTCGCGTGTCCCTTCAGCGCCAGTCTGTACGTATATAACGTCAATTCCGGACTATCATGGGGTTTCGATGGGCTCTCAATGAAAAGGAAATCCCAGCCACGTCCTTTCGAGAATAAAGAATTCTAGACTACCCGGTAAACAACCTCTGCTCATGGAATATGTTGATTTTATGCTTGCGGCAGCTCATGAAAGCGGCAATATTTTTCGAAAAGTGTCCTCGCATAAACTACGCGATCACGACTCGATTTCGACTTTCTAAGAGAACTGGGGGAAAGTCTAGTTCCCACGTGTAAGGTATACCTACTCCTCCTAGACTTTCGTAGGGAGACGAGAGCCGTCCCCTTGGCGTTACTCGACTTATACAGCCCCACTGGAATATCCGAGATGAGCTTTATACGTATGTATATAGGAGAGGGAAACATTTTATACATGCATCAAAACGAGACTCTTCACTTAACGGTAAATACTCCAATGGGCAACGCGTCGACCGTTTCTCCGATGCAGACTTAACCTAGGTATATGGGTTAGAAACGCGTTTGAGTGCGCGTGGTGAAAATTAAAAAAAAAAATTTTTTTCCAAAAAAAGAAATATCGCAACTTCCTCCGCTCTTAAGCATCACTTTTCCTCTTACGACCCATTCTGAAAGTCGCGCGAAACTTCTAATGAGAAACGTGCCGTAGCTTTCTACTTCATCCTCTGCTTTTACCCTATCAGCAAGCTCGTCTTCTAAGCACTACCTCAAGGGGCCGTTATATTGTCTTGCGCTCAGCTGGACGTCCCAGACTATCATTAATTTATCGTCAACAAGCTCATCCGAGCGTATTATAATATTTCGTCGGGTCTACAAGTAGCAGGGTGGTGTACCTTATAGGTAAACACGGTACGTAAACACGTAACGAAGCATAAAGTGTATAATCAGAAAATAATTTTCAGGTAACAAGATTAATTACCTCGCGGAACCCTGAGGTACGTAACTTGATAAGTTGTACGCGTATGATATCGAGCTTACGGTACGGGGTAGAGAGACACGGCATAAATTCATCGGTTCGGGTAAAAAAATGTATCGAAACGAACGGACAATGGACGTCGCTGATTAATTCTTGAAAAAGTATGACATGCGGTCAGAGGGATCCGCGCGCACCGGGTACTTGTTTCTCGTGTTGCATTGTCTATACTGCCTGGTGCAGCCGTGCCGTTGCACCGTTGCACCGTTGCACCGTTGCACTATGTACCTTCCACTACTAATTCAACCCCAACAAGTTGATGCTGACCGATAATAATATTCCATTACGGCAGCAAGGCCGTACATCACTGGTCGTCACGGATTCCCTCCGCGTACCTTCATACCGATAGGATCTACATGAGGCGTTAATTACGTACCATCCTACCGCGTTACACTGCCACTCGAGATATCTACCACTGGCCAAGTCGCAAATATAAGATCAAATTCCCGTAACCCTCGTGCCGATCTTTGCGGAGTAACGAATACAGTCGTGCACCTTACCGTATAGTGGTACTTATCGAATTATACACGTAGGTCTGTACGGTCATTTGCTACTGTAAACCATTCTACGTATTGCCGTAGGTCTGCAGGATGCTATACCTATAGACGCGAGTATAGGGGGTATACGTATTTGCTAAAGGTATATTTACACTGTACGAAAATTGAAGTTTAATCATTTCCAATTGAAAATCGTATCGTGTAATTTTTATTGGCTATGATTTTTTTCACTTACAAATTTTGGCAAAATTAAATGTCCACGTCTTGGGAGGGTACCTGTGTGTTGAATCGTAGAGATAACGGATGGTGGATGTTTATTGGCTAGCTGGATATGGGTTTCTGGTTGGATTGAAATTGTCGCGATTATCACTCATGCAGTAAATAAATTGCGACCGGTGTTGCGTGACCGATCGGAATGACGAACCGGTTCGAGAGCCGTGAACTTCCGAATATCTCAGATCCGGTTAACTGTGGATCGTCAAAGACGTAAACTATACGCTTGGTCAACCCGAACGATAGTTTGCTATCTGCTGTCAGTAGTATCATTTCAATTAATTGACTGGTCGTTTGATTGTCCATTTGAACGTAGATCGTATTTCACGGTGAGTCGTAACTTTAGGAAGGTGACAAGAGTTGAGTTACATGTTCAGATGAATCTTAGTGCCGAGTCTGTTACGTTGGATACCCATCAGTCTTCATAAGTCAAACACTCGGATGACACGTTTCCATCTTTATTCTTTTTAGACACATTCCGAAATATCGATTTACTCGAATTGCCATTTTTCGTTCGTTCGTCATTTTTTATATTTCACAAATTCGATTATGCATTTGCTGTATCTTTGAATTTTTCAAATTTTGACTTTTCTCATTGACACATCGACTTTCGTTATATTTCGCAAAATCTCTAAGTGACGTGTGCCAAGACACGTCGACATTCTGCTCTGAAGATATATCGTAACACGGGATATCGGTCTGTGAAACTTGAGCCAATGGAATGCCTGTATGTCGAAACACACAACACAACTGTGATGTATATATATATACATATATATGTAGCGTTAAAGCGTCGGTTCTTATCTATGGTCAACGAGTATTTTTGCGCTGAAAAAAGGGGGCGTAAAACATATATCTATAATAGTATATCACTCGCTGATTAGGTCTTTATAGGCGTATGCGCACTTACCGATAAGATGAAATCGTGGGATACTGCTGGAGTCCCTGAAGCCGGATTTTCAAGAACCTGTCAGACAGAAACGTTACTCTTCATTAGATTAACCGTTAGCATGGGAATGAGTTTAATATCAGGAGATTAAGGATCCAGGAGGAACAAAATTATAATAACTCTATAGTAATATAACGAAATGAGGTCCTTGCGGGAGTTGCGAAAATTCTTAAGGCACTTTTCGCCGATAAAGCAACGCGATATTTCAAAGGAACTTCTAACTCGAAACTTCACAGGGAAATATCCAGCTGTCGTAATAAAGGGTAAAGTTGGAATTTTATTTTTATCGGTTTACCCCTGCACCGGTTCGCTAGAGAGAGAAGGAGATAGATATGAATTACGTGGAAAAATTACTTCGAAATCAGTGGAAAGGTTTTTCCACTTTTTTGCCTTTGAGAAACTAAATGGCAAGTGGGAATGAACACTTCGATATTGTTTTTTTTCATCGAATTTTGTAATATCGAAAGATTCCACGTTAACGCTCGATCGGACGTCTCGAATTCGTCTCATTGAACACGTATGTATATATATATATAAATATTACGGTTAGCAATGCTACTAAAAAAAAATTGATAAACTCGACCGAATTAACCCGATAGATAAGTCAACATTTTATGAGACAGAATAGTAGTCCTGTGGCGACCATAACGGCAATAACCGTAAAATTAATAATTAGCCACTAGAATATCTAATGCCCGATTACAACCTAATGCGTCCTGAGAGTCTCGCGAAAGGAAGCGTCACGAGATCAGGAAGCCCAGGGAACAAGAATCTCGATATAATCCCACGGAAACTAAACAGTTGACTTTCCCATCGAATCTCCGAACACTTAGCCTACAAGTGATTTGCCAGTAATAACATCCTCGCCAAACAGCAAGACCTTTAAAAAACTTCACCGTAATCTAATCGAGCCCCAGCCGGCAATATCTTTGTAAGCCCAAACAGCGTCATAGCGAAATCAAGCAAAATCCCATAAAGCCTATACCCTATAGAAAAGGACTTTCCCACGAGGATTCGTGAAAACGGTAAGAACCTACGGTCGACTCAGCAAAAGTGCACCTAGCGGCTGAGTACCTGAATACGCCGCCAGGATTCTTTTCCCCAAGGAAGAATTCCCTGCCGCGCCAGTCACATATATAATCATGAGCCAAGGAAATAGGTGCTAAAGTTAGTACGGTTCGGATTACCGGTAGGTGGTGCAGCATGTGCATTTTGCAGACAATGCATTCTGGGAAGGAGACAGACTGAATCCAGTTTTCTCCGTTTGGCTTGCACAAGGGTCCGGTGATCATTCGATGCGTAACTACGTCCAATTGCCCAGGCAGCATACCTTCCTGGGAATCCGGAGGGCAACGGCGGCGCTGAAGTTACAGTTCGACTCGAGGAAGAAGAAGACGCGCGCATTACACGCGGAGAGAGCCGATGGTTTATAGCAGAAAGTGCAGCAGGGCTGCCACCGTTGCTCGAGTGACATATCCCTGGTAGGGAGCGTCGGTTGAACGTCCGAACCGCAAAAGATATAAAATCCATCAACATCGCTGAGTGGAGTTGACTACCTGAAGAACACGTCACATCCCCAGCTATTCGCGATGGGCTCGCTCAACAACGGCCAATACAATTCCTCATCGTCTCAGCAGTCATCATCGACCTCGGTCACAACTACCCCGTGCCGTGTCGGTGTCATCTCTTTAAGCAATTTTCTCCTATCTGACTTCCCTGCTGCCATCTATCTTACGGCCGTCGCGAACGACTGCCAGACAGCCGGTTTTACGGCTCTTCCAATCCTACGGTTCGTCATTAACAATTTTGCTGTTTAACATACGTAATGATATAAGGGACTCCTGTTACGATTCTTAATACATACGTGTAAGTGTCGTTGCTTGTTATTAAATAATTTAAGTTATTATTTCACGGCCGTAAACGGACCTGAAGCTGACGGCGTTTCTACGAAACTGTACTGGCGGCAACGGAACTCTATATATATGTATATGGCACAGCGTATGACGGCGAGCTACCTTTACGGTGTCGTATGGTGTTGTGTGCTTCAGCCTTCTATAGTGCACTTATTATAAATTCCCTGGGAGCAGCCACCGCGCGCTGCCTATATACATACGTGCTAGGATAATAGTATGAAACGAGTATAACCCGGGAACCGTGGAAAAGGGCGAGGTCAACTGTCTGTCGCATATTAAAGTCGCTCTCATGAGTATGTGGAAGAAGAATTTCATACGGTACGAGGAATACACTGCTATGTATACATGTATATAATATATATATACGTACATAGTGAGAGTGATTGAAACAGCCTGTCTGTTTGGAGATCGATATATGCTTGATGTACGATCACGTGTGTCAGGATGGGTTAGGAGGCTGATATATATAGCAATACCCTACTACCTATGAGGATCACCCTTGAGATGAGCTGGTTGTCGCTATCCCGAAGTGTGCCATTACGTGAAAGCTCGCCCCTAATGAATACCGCGAAGCACCAGCTAAATACTTCGGTCACGAGGTAAAACTAAGGAAGTGTTTTGCATTCTCCATGAGCTAAAATGGACCGTAATGGCTGCCAACATGCACACTCGTGGTTGCTCCTAGAATTAGTATGACACGATCGACACGCGAGGTTAACTTAGAACCTGGTTCTCGCCTTCCATATCCACGATCGCGTCGAGCTTGCCGATTCTTTATTATCCGTAACGAAAACAAACGAAAAAAAGGAAAAAGAAAAAAAGATGCCCAAGCCCGACCATATATCCAAGCAGTTGCGCGGCGGTCACCGTTAAAGACGGGTTTCAGAGGATGGAGAATTAACCATCTTCCTGTATGCGATCATCAATGCATTAGAAATAGCTTCCTGATCGGCGAGAACCAACTTTGAAAACGGCGCCTGGTCGCTTTTTAGACGTCGCCGTAGAATCTTCGCGATTAAATTATAAACTTAATAAAACATCGTCTGGTCCTGGAAACAAGCGCCTCTGTCTGTCCTACCGCAGGCTGATGACGTCAGGACGTTAATTAATAATTATTTAACGAATTACCTCCGAGAGATTTTTCATTAGGGCAAAGACCCATTAAACGTCAGCTCATTACATTTAATTCTCATCGAATCTAACAGACCTCTTCGATGTCTTCGGAGAGATGAAAATCAAGGATGCTGTAGTAAGAAAATAATATTACATGTAAAATTTTCGTCTTGCCATCAACGCGTGATGTAAATTCGCAAAAACTTTTGCGAGTGACGGTACTAGGTGAAAAATTGCAATTAGCCACAAACCGCGCACATATAGGTTGCGCTCGTGTATGGTATGCAATTGCCGTGTACGAGCAATGGCTATATTCGTTGACACAGCCATATGTATATATATATACACATATATACACTCAGTAAATAGGTATATATGCCTCGTACAAGTATCTCAGATAAATTGCTCGTAAAATCGTGGGGATGTTGTCTACTGTTAAAATCACTCAGTAGGTTTACACGGCTCGCAGGGCTCCCTATACAAAACACGGCTACAGAGGGTTCGCCAAACTTATTCGCAAGCAGTACCTGTGAATTTCGTTCTACCAGAGCACAAAGCCAGTCCACGTCGCGTAAGCAGACTAAGATATAAACTGGCGTTGTTTCGCGTAGCTAACAGTCGCGCGTGAAAAAAAGTCCGTGAAACAGTACATTGAACCTTTCGTTTTTAAAGCCGGCGACCAAATCGAAAGCTCCGTGCGAAGATCAGCCAACGCGATGCGAGTGTCTCCTATGGCTGTTTCCTGGCTCGTAACGGTACACACGTCGGAATGAAAATAACTTTACGGGCAGCATTACTTTCGATGCTCGACGACCGATACGGCCGGTAAAACTCAAGGTAGAATGCAATTACAGTAATTTGCAATTGAAACGGGCTCGGATTGCGCGCTCGTGGGGGCGACGAATTGAAGCTTCGACATTATTCTTGGTCCGTGTATACATATATACAGTATACAATATAACGCGTGAACCAGACAAACTGGATAAACCGGAACGACGATCTATCCCATTGGACTACTTTCGTTTCCTTAATACGTCACACCGCCCTCGGAGAGGAGCAATTAGAGACTCATGAGATAATCCCAGTACGCTATTGCATATTTGTAACAGATTATCGATCTGGTTTTCTGTCAGGAATCCATTTGCTTACCGTTAGCATTGCTATTTGTCAGTATATATATACATATACATATAGTCATTAACAATTACGATAAATATCGGAAGGTACTCGTAATTATGTTTATGCCTCGGATGATGGTTGGCAGCCTCACGGATTCCACGAGCACCGTTCGATGAGTAACGCGAGCATTACCGTCCAATGAAACGCGACGGGGGTAAAATGAAATTAAATTCACTTAAGTGTTTAGCCACGTTCTCAATTATACACGATGAACCTTGGCCCATCAAAATAATTATCTTTTCAGCCCGTTATTCTGAACCGGCACAGTGCCCGTAACCGTATCGCATGATATTATATCGTATCACATGATATCGTACAGGTACCGTACCGATACCGGAACGTGCACCAGTACGTCAGCCTCCATAGTGCACAGTACCAAACGGCAGGGACGTCACAGTGACCGCTGAGGTTGTACGGTCGGGCTTGGACCCATCTCCGATAGTTAACTCAAGCGTAATAATTACATGATTTTCCTTGGCTTAGTTAAGGGTCGCGGACCCCTAAGCACGGGATTAGATATTAGGAGTAAGAGGCTTAGACTCCGGAAAGTGGAATTTACCTCGGTGCCTTTGAAGATACCAAAGGCGGAAGCTTATGACTCTTATTTCCCCAGTCTCATATAAATACTTATCAAAGGTAACAAGCAGCGAGGATCAATTCGCTTCACGAGTTCTTCCTACCGAATAGAAATGAGTCTTTCCAGCGTCCGTGATCAGTTCGCTTGGTCCCAGATTATTATGTTCTTTACTGATGACTCGTCATATATATACATACAGAGTGCTTATAGTCCCATTGGGAACGTGGGAAATACCG